TTTTTACATGTGTGTTGTCTATGTATGTGTATTCTATTATGAAATATCTGTTTTACTGTCCATTTCTATTTATTTATATAATTTATTTAGTTTTTGGAGGTACCAGGGATTGAATTCAGGACCTTGCATTTGCCAGGCAGGCGTTTGTTCTACTGAGCTATCTCTCCAGCCCTTACTGTCCATTTTTGAAATCAAGATATTTGAAATTTTGTTATTGAGCTCTTTGACTTTCTTGTATCCTAAATGTCCTTGTCAGAAGTGTACCTTAGAAATATTTTCTGCATTGCTAAAGGCTGTCTCTTCCTTTTGGTGACTGTTTCCTTTGTTGTAAAAAAGCTTCTTGGTTTGATGTAATCTCATTTGTCTATTTTGCTTTTGGTTTTGGTGTTTCAGTCTTCTCCAAGAAATCCTTGCCCACTGAAGTGTCCTCAACTATGACCTCTACGCTTCCTTCAACTAATTCAATAGTTTCAAGCCATGCATTTCAGTCTTTTATCCTTTCTAATTTTTGTAGTTAGTGAGAACACTAAAATAAGAAATTAAAAATGGGCAATGTAATATAATAAGCAGTGATACTGCCTTAGCCTTTCATAGTGGCATAATTTTTCTGAAATAAAATGAGAGAAATAAATTTGACCAAATGTACATTTGGGAAAATTCCAGATTTTTTAATATTTGCTTGAGTTCCACTGTTATTAATATTTCCTTGGTGTTGGACTTCAAGAATTTTTCATTACACACAGTAAAGCAGTTTTATGGTTTACATTTATTTCAAAAGAGGGATTTACTTGCTTTTTAAACTTGGGCACAATTTTCAATTTATTGTACAATACGACTTCTCTAGGAGCTAATGTTTTTGGCCTCAAGTGAGCAACTACAAAAGAAAACAACGATTAAAATTGCACTTGATGTCAACATGGTATTACATTGGGGATGAAAAGAGGTTATACTTTGATGAAAACATGTATTTTTGTAATACTGAATGCAATGAAAAATAAATTGCTTGATTTAGAGTATACCTTGTCAATATTCAACTTGAAAATAAATTAAAATTTATTGAAGAAAGAGACACCGATAAAAGCAAATGTTCTATTGTTTATTAATTGTATTCAAAATTTACATGGGTCTTTTTATTAAGAACATCAGCTAATGTTTCTCATTTATGTTACAGACAGTTACAAACATGTTTAAAATAAAGTACATATCAATTAACAAGTGTGAGAAGTGGGGAATGAGAGTCTGAAGGCTGCCTTCCCAATAGTGACAATTGTGAGCACACTGATTTAAGGGGACATGTATTTTTCCTTCAGAATTCTAGGATTCTTAA